ATTTTTTTTCCTCTGTTATATAATTTTAGGGAGGCTGTGGATTAAATTTCGAACGAGGAACAGAGGGGAAACTAGTCAGCTGTCTGAGTGTTTCCAAAGTTCATCTGAGTGAGTAAAATATCCAGTATGTTTCCAATTAACTTTTTCAGCCTCAAGTGGTTTCTTCTGGGGCTCCTGAGAACCTTGTTCAATGGTGTATTGGACTAGAGAAGAGGTGGACCTTTTCATGGGCTGTAAAGGAAAATTAAGGGAGTGGGGCAGGAGGTTCAGGGAGGAAAGGGCATAAGGGCTTGGTGGGGGAAGGACAGTTTGTATAGGTGTAATGTGGAGGGGCTGGAATGGGAAGAGAAAGGTCTGATGGGTAAATAGAGGGTTGGAAGAAGGAGGAGTATTAAAGGCATCAGATCAAAGGATTCAAGGGAGCTGAAGGGAAGGTCAAAGATGGTAGAAAGAAAGAAGGAATTAGAGTGATGGGAAGGGAGAGGTACTTAGATGAGCCAGTTTGTGAAGATGTCAAGTTTCCCAAAAAAGGCAACTGAAGTTCTAAATTGCATTAAGTAAAAGTTACCCATTTTCGGAGATAATAGACAGAATGTGTACCACAGTGGCAGAGCACACAGTCTAGTAAGGGAAGAAGAGGATACAAAAAATCAGAATTTCCCATGGTGAAGGGAAGGGCCAAAATAACATACCCAAAATCAAAAGAGGTCTCAGTAAAAGAAGATGATAAAAATTAAAAGGAAATATTGATAAACAAAAAGGCCAAAATCCAAACGAGAGTTCAGTAAACAGAAGAGCTGGAAATTACCCACTCAAGAGTCAGACTCTAGATCTCCACTCAAAAAGACCTTATGTATAACAGAACTAAATGCTGCCCAACCCTGGGCCACCTTAACGATCATTTGTACATCTGAACACATTGTTATGGTTATTGCATCAATTAATCTCACTGAGGGTTTCTCTAGTTTTTGTGGATCCTCTGTTTTACCAAACATGATGTCCTTTTCAAGAGATTGGCCTTTCCTGAAGATATATCTCAAGTAAGAGAGTTGAAGTCTCACCATCCTTGCTTTCAGGGAGCATTAAAACTGTTGCCTTTCAGTGGATTCCAACTCATAGCAGTCCTATAGATCAGAGTAGAACTACCCTAAAGAGTTTCCAAAGCTGTAAATCTTTACCAAAGCAGACTGTCACATCTTTATTCTGTGAAACGGCTAGTAGGATGGAACTGCTGACCTTTGGGTTAGCAGCCAGAGCTCCTTTCAAGGAGTATTAAACCAAACCAAAAAACCAAACTCACTGCCATCAAGTCAGCTCCAACTCATAGCGATCCCACCTTGGGTTTCCGAGGCAGTATCACTATGGAAGTAGATTGCCCAATCTTCCTTCCGAGGAGTGGCTGGTGCATTTGAACCACCAGCTTTCTGGTTAGCAGTCAAATACCTCTGGCACTACACCACCCACCACCAAAGGGGGAGGCTAAACAATGGGATGTGTCACTCATATGGAATTATCTCTTGAGATTACTGTTAAAGCCAGATGGAAGATATTTCATCTGGAGTCTATAACGGCCACGGGGAGAGTGAGGTCAGAGGCCTGGAGTTAGGCCGTTTTTTAGAACACAAAAGTGAATTCAACATTGTCAACAATTAAGATGTCATATTGATTTTTGAAATTATGTATGATGGTACACTACACTATTTGTGAATTTCAAACAAAGGTAAAAGAGTTATGAACACTTATTATAAAAAGGAATGTTATATCTGAGAGATCAAGAATCACTGACTTAAGACAGTGAATCAGCGAAGCATGAATTCTTGTTTCTTCCTTTAGTAGCTGGACACTTCCCCGCCCATTTTCACTATGTTTGCAGATGAGGAGAGAACAGATAGGAAGATGAAAGAGAAGATTTCCCACAAAACTGGGATGGTTATAAGGTCTTTATTTCTAAGAAAGTGCCATTTTATTGTATTTCTTGTGTAGAGTTGCAAGACAGTGTACTGAGTGAGAGCAAAGACTCTTGAGACAGATTACGTGGGTTCAGATTGCAAGTCATTTGTTGTGAGACCTTGGATAAGTGACTCAATTTCTCTTTGCCTCAGTTCTTTCTGAGGTAAAATAAAACAAAGTCATAATATTATTGTTTCACAGGGTTGTTGTGAGGATTAAATGAGATAACATACATTTAAATGTGTATAAGTGACTATAGAAAATACTAAGTAAATTTAATGAAAATATAACTATAAACTGTATATATATATATTTTTTTTAAAGCTACTGTTCTGAAGAGTAACAATGGGGGATATTTCATAAAATTTTCCAGTATTTACTTCACACTTATAGTAAAGTTATTTTTATTTGACTGTATTAATTTGTGCCTGAATTTCTGCTAAACTTATTGTCTCCTGGCAAATGAAAATGACTTCACAGATTTTCATAGCATTTTTTGTGGGTATTTTTCCTTAAAACTATTGATACTATTGATATATCTTTTTCTGTGTAGTGAGGTTTATTGCCAATTGTCAGTAGAACAAGCTATATTGTGTACAAAAATCCTATATTCTAATGTGCAAAAATGTAGACTATTATTCATAGCTACACTATATATTCAGCCAACTCAAAATAAAATACCAGTATACTCATACTGTTCATTTTTGTAAAACTATTTTTAAATCAAATCACTAAATTTCAATAAAACCTTCTATGAGATAGTCACTGGGCTATACTATTTAAAAAAAAAAAAAAAAGCCCATTAAGTCAATTCCATGACTGACAGCAACCATACAGGATAGAGTAGAACTGCCCCATAGGGTTTCCAAGGCTCTACATCTTTATGGAAGCAGACTGCCTCATCTTTCTCCTGTGGAGAAGCTGGTGGGTTTGAACTGTCATTCTTCTGGCTAGCAGCTGAACACTTTAATCACTGTGCCAACAGAGCTCCTTCAAGCTATACTATAGTATATGCTTTAAAAAATAAATAAAAGAAAAAAGCCTCTACGCAGTTCCTTATCTAGCTGGGATGAGCTTGTCCTGCATGAAACAACCAAGAAAGTTAAAAAAAAAAAAAAAGAGGATACATAAGTACCAAATTGGATGGGAAAAGTCATAAGAGCTATAGAAATTGAGAAGACTATCAGGGTGGTAAGACAGTTAAGCAAAGTTATACACAGGAGATGGGAGAAGGCAGCCAGTAGAGGTCAGTTTGGATAGTATTTCCTTGTGTAGGCTACTAGAGGTACAACAAAAATGCAATTGTCTATGAATTCTCCAGAAAAGCTTTGAGAGCTAAGCTATAAAGCTGTATGATAGACGTTTTCTCTTAATGTCTGCCACTGTCCTTCCATCAAGAATTCCTCATTCTTCTTGTTGTTGTTATGTGCTGTCGACTTGGACCCGACTCATAGCGACTCCTCCTTGGGTTTCTGAGGCGGTATCACCACGGAAATAGATTGACCAACCTTTCTTCCGAGGAGTGGCTGGTGGGTTTGAATCCCCAGCCTTCTGGTTAGCAGTCAAGTGCCTTAGGCACTACGCTACCAGAGCTCCCACCTCATTCTTAGTTGGACGATTTTTGTACTACTAAATTTGAAGTCTCATTACACACCAAATTGGATGGCAATTTTCTCTCTAAATCCTTACTTCTCACTGGAATCCTCTTCTGAGACCTTATTTGAAAATGATCATGATGTGGGGTGCTTCCTGAGAGAGTTTTTATAACAAAGAGTTATAATCATAGTTATCTCTCTAATATGAATTTAAAACATTAAACATAAATATGCAAATTTAAGTTTCCCTTCTGTCTTACATTTTTTTAAGAACTAAAGCCAGTATTCTCACATCCCAACCAAGCAGCACGAGCAGATGTAGTGATATCACTATCAAATGAATTCTATGAGCTAACTTACCTGAATAGATAACAGCTAAACTTTCTTAGTTTACATAAGCAAATAAAGGGATGTTTAATAGCCTAGTGGCAGCAAACAGTTGATTACTACCTTTTTACTGCAGTGAATTACCATAGGAGCAAATTTTGGCAATATTTGCTGGTTTCATGCCCACAGACATCATGCAGCAGGAACTTCTTTTAGATGAAGATTATAAACTGAGGATAAGCAACATATTCATTTTAGAGATTAAAATACCCTGAAATGATATTTATTTCAGTAACAAATAAAGGCGAAATTTGTATGTTCGTGTGTGTGTGTGTGTGTGTGTGTGTGTAGGGGGGGGATAAGGTGACACCTCCAAGTAAAGAAAACAGAACATTTTGCAATCCATATTAATTAAAAGAGGAAATACTGTCTAATTGCTTCATAGATGTTGGCCAAAGCACATAAACGTTAAAATCTTTAAGGCAGGTTTAAATAATCTTCTATTTTATCTTGTTAGGATGCGTGGTTTCCACTGCAGCTGCTCCTAATTTTATCAATCCACTTAACACACAAACACTACACTTTTCTTAAAAATCAAGCTCTGCACATCTTAATTCTGTGGTAATTGCCTTGAATCTGTACAAACAAGGGACAGTGTGAATTGCGGAATCCATTTTACTAATCATGATAAGCCTTGAGGTCTTCACTTCATTAGAATCCTAGAAATCTTCATTAGCACAGTTCTCATTGGCCTGAGTTTGGTCTACCTCCATTACTTAATTTTTTTTTTTTTTTTAAAGACTGAACAAATTCACATCTTGTAGTACGAAGACCTGCCTCGGAAACCCAAGGACCGGTCGCTATGAGTCTGGTCAGACTCGATGACACATAACAACGACATGATGTACCAAGACCAAGAAATACGCTAGGATGACAACCGCTAAGGAGAGGTGAGAGGCGAGTTCTCGCGCGGCTGTAAGATGCGACAGCCCTGACGTCACCAGTTGCCATGGAAGCATTAGCTAAAGAAAAAAAAGAAGGGTGGCGCGAGGGGGCTTATTGGGGCGGAGCGCGGCTTCCACAGAGGACAAGGACAAGGGACGCTCCTCTCTCACTGATCAGACTTCTACCAAAATGAGTAGCCTGGATGGGGACGATAAGCTCCCTTTCGCTAAAAACCGCGACCTCGATACTCCCGATAGTGTCGCAGAAGACCCGGACCCACACCAGTACCAGAGGCTCCGAAGGGAAACCGATGTGACACAGGTGATGGCGGACATGGCTGGAGTCACCCTGGAGACCGCTTCGGATTCTTTCGACTGTGGTTTCGCGCTCCGCTTTCGACTTCCTATTAATCGCAACCAGGCTGCGAACAAAGCTGGGCAGGAAAAGGCTCCACCTCCCACCGGACGTCCAAAAGCGGCCTCTGCCTCCATTGCATTTGACTGCAGCCTGAAAAATGGTCGTCAAGGTGGGGAGCTGCGCGGCCCTGTAGGGGAGAAGGCCCTAGAAGCCTGTGGCGCAGTAGGGTTGGGGTCTCAGATGATGCTTGGGGCAAAAGCCAAGGAAGTGACGACTAAAAAGTGCGCCATCTCAGCGGCAGCTGAAAAGAAGAGAGAAGCAGAGGGGTTGGAAAAGAAGGTGGTACAGAAGGAAAGAAAGGTGGTGGGGAAGAAGAAAGTCGAGAAAGGGGCCATAGTACCGAAGATCAATAACTGCATGGACTTACTGGAGGCCACTGATCAGGAGCTGTCAAACGGAAATGTTCAGGCTGACCGGGCCTTCCTTCAGCTGGAGCGTAAGTTTGGCCTAATGCGAAGGCTCCATATGCAGCGCAGGAGCTTCATCATCCAGAATATCCCAGTTTTCTGGGTCACTGCCTTTCGGAACCACCCCCAGTTATCACCGATGATAAGTAGTCAAGATGATGATATGATGAAGTACATGATCAATTTGGAGGTAGAGGAGCTTAAACACCCCAGAGCAGGCTGCAAATTCAAGTTCATCTTTCAGTGCAACCCCTACTTCCGAAATGAGGCGCTTGTCAAGGAATATGAGCGCAGATCCTCTGGCCGGATCGTGTGTCTTGCCACTCCAATCCGATGGCACCGGAGCCAAGACCCTCAGTCCCACGTCCACAGGAATCGGGAAGGAAACACTATCCATAGCTTCTTCGACTGGTTCTCAGACAACAACCTCTTAGAATTTGACAAGATTGCTGAGATCATCAAAGAGGAACTGTGGCCCAATCCCCTGCAATACTACCTGATGGGTGAAGGAGCCCGCAGAGGAATGGGAGGCCCAGCAAGACCACCAGTGGAGAATCCCATGTTGTTCAGATTCCAGTCGGGTTAACTCTTGCCCTTGTGAGAAGCTCCTTAACAAGTTTCCTTACCACCTCCTCTTGGACCTGTGCCTAGCCAACAACATATAATCTTGTCTTCTTTCTCTTCATACTGGATTGTTTTTTGGTTCTTCTGAATCTTCAACAGTCATTTGCAAGATTGTCACCTCTATGTCTCTGCTCTTCTGCTTCCTCTTGGCCTTCATTGCTTTTCTGCATTATGTTACATATTTCAAGTCTCTGGTCTACTACCGCTCTGTGCCAAGCTGATGATGCTGTACATATGCACTACCTTCCTTTGCATGGCTTGGACCCTGCCTGTGGCTGTGGTCCTCTCCCATTTTTTTTTTTTTTTTCAAATGTGGTTATCTACATGGAATCCACAAGGAAGCTTTCTAGGTCTTTGCAAACAACTAGTTGGACTTCATGCCTTGTGCTAACTGTGCTCCTGATAACCCATGCACTCCATGCTCTTGCATTTCGCCACTGCAAGATGAAGCTAATATAGATGATGCCAACCATCGACCCAAACTGTACATTCCAGGCCTTTGTCAACTGGATTCCAGCTGCCTCCCTTTGCCCATGCCATCTACCCTGCTGGTCATCTGGTGGAAAATGCAGGTGGCTAGTAGGTGGCTGCTAGGCATAAATGAGGTAAAGGACAAGAAGTGTTCTATGTTACCACATTGGTTTTCCTGTGCCTCAGTCACCCTGCATTGTGACCAGCTACTGGTGAGTCTATGAAGGCCTGTGCTATGGCCTACCCCTACCTGCTCTCACCCTTCTGGGTGGGTGGCCCAGGCTACCGTTGTCTGCCTTCTCAGTACTATCTGTGGACCTGGGCTCCCAGCCAGCATAAAGGAAGACATCCTCCCCACCCCATCAACTTCAAGTGATTATCCATAAACCCATTCTGTTGTCAGGCAGGTTGGACAGTCTTATGTGACAATACCCAAAGCAAGGGGGTGGGGAATAGGGTCCCTTCCAGCAATCAGCCTTTCTGAGACCCAGCCACTGAACCACACTTAATCTTGGAAGCTTTGTTAGGTGCCCCTCCCTGCCCCTGTATCTTCTCCTGCACCAACTCTGAACATGACAAGGGTTCCAGGATGGAAAGAGTGCCACTGAGGAAGAGGTCTTTATGGTCTGTAGGGCTGGTTATGCCTTTCGCTAAAGCAGCTACAGCTTAGAAGCAGAAAACAAACCTGGCAAAGCAGGCCTTTCAATTTGCTTTCCCCTTGATTGTGTCCAGAGGGAGAAAGAGGAAAGAGGTACTGTGAAATAGACTTGAACTCTTTTATTGCCCTCTTCTACCTTCATGCCTGTACTCCATTTCCTTTAGCAAGGCCTAAAAGTTTCAAGGGAAATCTATAGGTTAATTACTTGGTTATGAGCCCTGTTCTTTAGGCTGGCTCTGACGACCCCACCCCATTTCCTTCTCCGTTATTGCCAAAACCTCCAGTGTTTCTTGAATTTTAGTTGGAGAAACAGGGAGGAGAGAAAGAACAGACCCATAGCAGGATGTGAACTAAAGCTACTAAAGCTAGCTTTACTTCATTTTTCTAAAGATAGAAATTCTCTTTTGGGCTTTGGACTACTTAGAGGTATAAACCCCAAGGCATCATTTTGTAGGTCACCTAGGTTCTCTAGGCTATGAAACTAAATACCAGCCCTGAAGCAGAAATATCCCTGCTGGGGAGTGGGCCTACAGGCCTGCAGGGCCAGCAGGGAGATGCCATCAGGGTTGATGGAGTAGGGAGGGGAGAATCTAAGGGTTTGAATAGGGTGCTTGGAAGTACGTTTTCCTCCAGTATTTCCTAACTCCTTGAATTCACCAGTAGATATTTGTAAATAAAAATGAAAGTCTTGATGTTTTCTTGAATTGTTCTGGGAGTGCCCTTTTATATGTGGTAGATTATTGATAAGTGCTCCTATGTCACTGTTTTTAAGTAAAATCCTATTAATTTCTTTCTCCATTTCTACATACTGGGGAAATTGAAGTTTACACACCTGCTTTTTGCTTGTAATTGAGAATGTCTGCAAAAATACCAATTTTGTTTTCCCATGCAATATGATTTGTGTAAATTTTCACTTATGTATCTGCTTGTTCTGGTCTCTGCAGAAATATAATTCAAATAATATGATGCTTGTTGAATCTGAAGATTTTGGAAATTATCTTGTGAATGCAATCTCAAAAGACTAATATAATTGTTGTCTGACTTAATAATTTCTTCCCCTGGTAATAATGTTGTACTTGACATTTTTTGTTCCTAACCAGTATAAGTATTTGTAGAATTTCTGTCAAGTTAGATGAAGATTGTTAGCATTTTTGTCTTCTATTACTTGAAGGAAAAATAAAGTCTGTCACTCTGTTACATTTACTTTTATTTTCACCAAAAAATTAAAAGTAAAAACAAAAGTCAGTCTCTGCTGTTTCAGTTATAAGAGGTTGGGAAACCACTAAAATATCAAATGGTCATGGTAAGCATTGTTTTGAAAGTTTGAAAACAAAAAAAGCAACCACCACCAAACATTCTAAGATTTTTTTGTTTGAGAAAGGGTTTAAGTCCAACTGCAACTGTAGTTTTCCCTATAGAACCAGTGTGGGTTTTGAGTGGTAACTGAAACACCATATATTGATTTTGTCACTTAAAATACTGTTTTCAGTGGAAAAGCTGTTCTTGTTGTTTCATCCCCAGTTTGTGAATTTATGTTAAATGCTCTCATTAGGGGCTCTGGTGGCAGAGTGTTTAAAGCATTGGGCTGCTAACCCAATGGTTGGTGGTTTGAACCCACCAGCTGCTCTGTGGGAGGAAGGTGAGGCAGTCTGTTTCAGTAAAGATTTACAGTCTTGAAAACCCTTTGAGGAAGCTCTACCCTATCCTATAGGGTTGTTATGACTTGGAACTGACTCAGTGGCAGAGGGTTTGGTTTTAGTTTTGGTGTTCCTGCTGGCTACATTCTCTTTAATTAGCTTAAGATGGACTTTTGGAAGAATGGGTCATTGTACGTTTTTATCTGTGACTGCTACCTAAATTCTTTTCCTACAGAAATACAGTGCTTCAAAAGAAACAACTAAAAAGAAATTATGATCTAAATATAATGTCTATAGACAGATAAATTATATTACAACTTGAACAGTTTTGCTGTTCAGAAGAAAATTTGGGGATAAACATTTCTGCAGCTGCATTCTATGGATGCTGCAAAATCTATAAAAATAACAAAGTATTTTTAATTATCTAAACAGAAATTTGACATAAATGGCCTAGAACTTCTGATTTAATTTAAAGCCTTAACTGCTATCCAGAAGGTTGGCAGTTTAAACCCACTAGCCACTTTGGCAGAAGGAAGACTGGGCAATCTACTTCCATAAAGATTTACCACCTCAGAAACCCAATAGGGGTGGCTATGAGTCACAATCAATTTGATGGCAGTAGGTTTGGTTTTTTGGTATAGTTTTTTGGTATAGATGTGCTGATTCTTGGTACAATTCCTATTTGCCAGTTCTTCTTGCAGAGGTATAATTTTTCTAGGCTGGGAAAACTTTAAATATTAGAGAACTAGGTTTTTTTTTTTTTTAATTTTTCCCTAGGGTTGGGTGGCAAGCTTTATACCTACCTTAATCCTAAATTTCCCTTTCTATGCTAATTTTTGATGGCAGTGGGTTTGGTTTTTTTTTTTGTTTGTTTGTTTCTATGTTCATGTTTTAGGAGCTCTGGTAACATAGTGCCTAAGGCACTTGACTGCTAACAAGAAGGCTGGCAGTTCAAACCCACCAGCCATTCCTCGGAAGGCAGGTTAGGCAATCTATTTCCGTAGTGATACCACCTCAGAAACTCAAGGAGGGGTCCCTATGAGTTGGGTCTGACTTGACGGCACATAACAACAACATGTTCATTTTACCTTTTTATTTCAGTGATTGATTTCTACGTTGTCAATTATTTTGAGCATTATCCCTTTCTATGCTAAATTTCCCTTTCTATGCTAATTTTTGCCCGTTGTTTGGGACCAGAAAATGTCATTTTTGTTACCTCCTTTTTTTTCCCTCAGCTTTAACCAATAACATTGATTTTTCTAACAGGCTGATGCCAATCTCATTTATTACAGAGAAATTTAGTTTCTGTTTATCTAATAAAATGAGTTATTACATTCAATTAGGCATCCCATACAATTTATTTACCAAACAGTTGTTGCACTCCCATAGCCCTGCTCCAATCCTTCATTGCCTTTTTTTTCCTTTCTCAATCATCTTTATATAGACTTCCAAATCCAGTTAAGAAGTTCTCTCATCCTCTGACCAGCAAATAAGTATTATAACATTAGTCTGCCTAGACCATAATGCTCTGTGAGCAGCAGGGACATACTTCATAATAATTTCTCTGATTTCCACTCAAAAGAATTTTCTTGGACTACCTTTTCTATGTCTGGGCATTCATCTCAGGCCGGACACTTGCAAAAGGCTTTTCTGACCTTCCTTACAGGCCTTTTTCCTCAACTATAGTTCAACCCTGCTCCTTCCACTACAGCAGCTTTATCTCCAGTTGACTGAAGCTTCCTGCAGTGAAATTCTATCATTTGTAACAGCAAAACAAAACATCTACCTGTAATCTCAATCACTGAGTTCCCTGCCCCATGAATCACATTTCAAGCCTTGAATATCTAATTTTGTTTCAGGTCCACATTCCTGGGCTTTGCAATCTTACCAGAGCTTAGATAGGTCAGTGTTCCACATGTGTTCACATGTACCTTTGTAATTTGATGACACAAGTTTTACTGTCTCCATTTAAACAGTTGAAACAATATGGCCCCAGAAAGTTGAATTGTGCAAGATGGCAGTCACACAGACTTAAAATTGTCTGATTTTAAGCAAAGGTATCTTCCATTATTTCACAAATGTCTGTATTAAATTTGGCATAAAAACATCATAATAACCCTATTTACACACGAGTATTCAGGCCCTATGGATCACAGACTCCACAACCCATCATGGAATGTCGGAGGACTGGGCAGC